TCTCTCTCTCTCTCTCTCTCTCTCTCTCTCTCTCTCTCTCTATATATATATATATATATATATCTATGAGATTGAGTAAAGAAGGTAATTTTTCATAAATCTCACATGATATCAAAGTCTTGATCCTAGGGCTATCAATATAGAAAAATTCTTAAGTGCGGAGATTGAACACATTGAACCGTCTGGTTTGTCTTTATGAATAATAAAAAGACAGTAAGCTAGGCATTTAATGTTCACTGCTGGCCTTTTACTGTTCACAAAGACAATACTAAACAATTCTCAGCATCCGGTATCCTCACGTAATAATCTCTCATCAATATGGGACCTAATATGAAACCTATTTCAAAACTAACACAAACAATTAAATTTGTGTCAACCAATGTTATATTTGAGTCTAACTGAAACAACTAAAAAAAAAAAAAACCAGGTCAGATTAAAGCCAACCTAAATAAAATAACCATCTTATTGGATTTTTTTTAGTAAAAAACTTTTTAAAATCATAAAATTTTATTATTTTTAGATACAATTCACATGATTTTTCATTAGGTTGACTCTTACTAATCACAACTTCATTATTTTTATTACTTTGTTGGGTTGGATTATAATTTGATCGAATTGATATTGAGTTAAAAATTTTGGCCCTTTAAATAAGAGTTAGGTTCATATCAAAGTCAGCGTTCGACCTAAATTGACAACCCTTGTCTCTCTCTCTCTAATTTAGTAAAGATAAGACCTTGCCATCTATCATTTTTAGAAGACATCAAACAAGTTCAATGCTCCTTAGCATATCCCCTCACCCAGCCAATAAGTGGGGTATGTAGGACCCACTCTACCCCACTTGCCAACTCTCTACACGCCACCTAATCATCGATTTGAAAAGGTTTGATTGGGGATGCACTTGCACTCGGTGGTTGAGTGAAGGGAATTTCTCCCCCACGGCTCCCGTTCAATCCCTCAACGGCCCCACACAAAGGTCTGATTGCGAATAAATTACACGTAAAAGACGTACAACAGAAGGCCATTTCAGGCATTTTTGTATGCCTGCTAATTTTCATGAAACATTTTTGTTTTGAAAATCCCAATAGAATCCAATGTCTCATTTGTTACATTTTATTGGTACTTGGCCAACATTGGATCCCATTTTGGCTCTATTTGGTTGAAGTAGACAAGCCATCTTATACATTTAATCACCATAGATTCTTAATAAACAGGCAAATTAGTAGAAATTTCCTTCAACAAAAACAAAACTTATGCATGGTCTAATTTTCTTCCGTTTAACATGTCCAATTTTATTTTATTTTTTCACCATTTGCAAATTTTTATACTAAAATGAACAAGCATTGAATAAAGTTTAATTAGGGTATCATGAAAGCAGTAATGGTAGCTCAACAATCTTCAGTGGGGGCTCGAAAGTGCCAGTTGTGGGTACAATGGCATGGGTGGCCTGGTAGGTTAGCCGGGGTTTACGGACCGCCAAACGCGCTCGGCGAAGCCAGACATGGCAGCAGATGGTTCCTCGTTATCAAAAAATAAAAAAATAAAAAATAAAGCTCAACAACCTAAACAGGTGATGCATGGAGGCTCTACTGTACCAAAAACAGCTTCAACGCACAGATTATGATAGCAGTGGCCACAAGACAATACTGCAGCAGTTGGAAACTCGTTGAATTGGAATGATTCCGAGAAATTCATAGGGCTGAATGCTAGATCCAGGCTACAGAGTTGGCAGCTTGCTCCAAGTGGTTTTTTTCGATGACCAACACAAATATCTGAAGACATTAAATAAATTTTAGCACATTCCACATTATCATTTAAGAACTTTTGGGTGAGAAAAAGAAAAAAAAAACATAGAGTGAGAGAGAAGCAAACAAATGAGTAATCAAATAATGAAACATGGCCAAGGCCAACATAAAAAAACAGTTAAGATAACTAGATAAGTTGTGTTATAGGTTGAATCGTCGTCTTCAATTGGAGCGATCACAGTCAGTTGTGAGCTCTAAAAATACCCATGAGCTCGTGGTACAATGCATTTTCTTGTTAGTTATTTTAGAGTTAATTTGTGGCATGAGACTGATAGGAAACATTTGTTTCTCACCAACACCCAGCAGATCTAGGAGAAAAAACTGCTGTCCATAGCAGAAAATCAGCCCAAAAAAAAAACAGTGAAATCTGAGAGAAATAGGGAGAAATCTTTGGAAAACAATAGAAACGATTGTATTCCACTAGTAGACAAACAAAACCAAAGCAAGATACAATGTTCTTCAATTCGAGAGGAAGAACAACTCTCCAACAATCTCCGGCAACGCCAAGAGCCTAAGCAAGAAAACCTAGAAGACAAAACTCATTCAAAATCCAGATGAAACCCTAATCCCCTCATAACTCCCTATTAATACAATCTAATTCAAATTAAAAGCAAAAGGACTACTCTACCCTTCCTTCTCCCTCCAAAAACACTTAACCCATGTTTGAATTGCAAGTGGACCCCACTCCCTGGCTCCCTCTCTCTTCCGCCCGGCTCTGTGTCCGCCGTCTGTAGAACTGGACCGGCTGGGCCGGTCCAGGTTGAGCCGGTCCAAGCTGGACCGACATAACAGAGACATCATTTGAGGTCATCTCCACATCAACCTTTTGACTATGAGATAATACTATAGCAACCATCCCTTAATACAGGTGGTGGTCTGGTGGAACTCTGGGCGTCAGGTGGTTAAGAGGAACTCCGGAGTCAAGTGGTGGTACGGCGGAAGTCCGAACGTCAGGTGGTGGTCCGGCGGAAGTCCGTGCATCAGGTGGTGGTCTGGCGGAACTCTGGGCGTCAGGTGGTGGTCAGGCGGAACTCTGGGAGTCAGGTGGTGGTCAGGCGGAACTCCGGGAGTCAGGTGGTGGTCTAACGGAACTTCGGGCGTCATGTGGTGGTCCGGCGAAACTTCGGGCGTCAGGTAGTGGTCCGGCGGCAGTTCGGGCGTCAGGTGATGGTCTGACGGAAGTCCGGGAGTCAGGTGGTGGTCCGGCGGAAGTCCGAGAGTCAGGTGGTGGTCCGGCGGAACTTCGGGCATTAAGTGGTGGTTCGGCGGAACTTCGGGCGTCCGGTGGTGGTCTGGCAGAAGTCCAGGCATCAGATGGTTATCCTGCGAAACTTCGGGCGTCAGGTGGTCGAGGAGGCAAGGAGGCAAGAGCGATATCCGATCTCTCTCTTGTTTCCTTAGGCTAAGGGGGTCCCT